CCCCCCCCCCCCCCAGCAATCTCTGGATCAGACCCTCCGTCCCTGGCTTCCTGCCCAGACGGCTGCCTAAGGTAGGGCTCGCATTACCATCGTATCTCAAGGACCTTATGGAGACACCACCGCTATGGTCTGGGTTTTGTAGCATAAATATCTGCTTGCTAGAGGCTAGACCAGCACAGCTCATTTCACTAAAACACAACCATTCTTGATGGCTGGCTCCCCAAGCCACTGCCAGGCCTGCCAGTGGGGCTGTACTTGTGGGTCAGGGATGTGCTCGACTGAATAATGCCTTTCGTGTGGAGGGACCCTCATGTAATAAAAGGAGGGATGCACTGGAACCATCCACTATTGAAATGCAGCCGCTCTGGTGTGTGCAGCGGTTTCGTGATTTGCTCAGCACTATAACATAGGGCAGGAAGTGAAGAAGAAAAGCCTACCCAACTATAAATTGAAGGAGGCAGCAGTTTTAGGCAGATTAGAATTGTCTGCCTTGAAATCGGGTCGGGACTCCCCTAGTTTCTAGAATGATTAATATTTGCAAGTGATCCTGTAGTCAAAAACTCATTTGAAAGAAAGTAACTCTATCAGGACTATGCCATTTTACTCCACACAAAGAGGCGTTGATTCAGCCCTGAGTCAGAAGCCACCTGACATCACTTTCTCCTTCTAAAGCACCAGCCCTCTTCCTGCAACAGCTGGGAATCATAAAGAAAGTCAAGATCCCACATTTTAATGCCTTCACAATTATGTTTTTCTCTGAACCAGTAATTCTTATGCACCATAAAAACCACCTCATTATATATGCCATTAACACTCCAAATTAAAATGTGGAGACTTGAAATATTTACTGCAGGTCCTTCTTCCTTTTTTTAAAAAAAATCCCCACTGATAAATCACAACATTAATTGACTACAAAACCTGCAGTTACCTGTTTGGCTGGTATCCAGGCTGGTAGTGATTGACAGCACTGACTCTATAAAAACTTGGAAGTGAGCTGAAGGCACCTCAGTGCTGGCCTTCTCAGGCAGGCATTCACACTTGCAGTATATTTTCTAGCCCCTGGATGTCTCTGTGTGGTCTAGAGGTCCAAACATCCTGGTCAACAAGAGAGACAAAGAAGAGCACAAGCTGAGTAGAGCCTGTTTGTATCTAGAGTTTGCAGCTAATTTCTTTAATAAGTGTCTCCTGTTTAAGGTGGAGTGTGATTTCATATAGGATGTATGGGGCCTAGATAGGAACAGGCTGTAAAGCTGGATTCTTTGAGTTGATCCCTCTAAACCAGAGATGGGGACTGTATGGTAGAAATGTCCTGTGTTACTGCCTCTGCTATAGCTGATCTCTTCATAAAAAGAGGTGGCCCAAATGAAGTGCCGCCTTTGCCTTGTTCACTCATTCCCACCCCGTATGCTAAGCCCTGCCCTTGATTCAGAAAAAGCAAGGCCAAATACAGCACTCCTTGGAGCAGAACATGCAATGTGATGTGAAACCTATTTTGCTTTGACTCACTAAGGTGTTAAAATTGCAGTGTAGCAAGACTGATGGGGACTTTGGAAGACACTTCTGTGTAGTTAAAAACAATGTCTGTGCATTGGACAGAAAAATGCTGTCTCCCAGCTATGCCAGCTTGCCTGTCTTGGCATCACCAGCTATACTGCTTTGGTATCTCCTCCCTCTGGCTTTGGCACTGCAAAGAGCCTTGGCACGGTGGTGCTGCTGTTGGCTCTCTCCCCACTCTCCTTCTGGCCGTGGGCTGGCTCCTCTCCAGAGCTGCCAAGCTCCCAGCCAGAAGCTGATGGGGAATGAGAAGCCCTGTTAAAATGTTGCTGCCAGCTGTTCATTGGCAATGTGCTTAATGTCTCTTCCCCCCCCACCCCCAATGTCAGCAGACCACATCACACAGTCAGTAGCTTCCTGATGGGGCTGGCAGCAGTTGAGGTGAATGCCATGCAACAGAAAGCAAAGATGCCATGAAGGCAAGACATTGCAAGGAAGGGCATAGCTTTGTAGCTCAAGTAGAGGCCTTTGGGTTCAGCAGGGAGCAGGCACAGCTGGTAAATCGTGCTCGCTGCAGCTGGAAGGCTGCACTATTGCGGAGAGCAAATTCCACAGCGCTCCCAAACACAGAGCAAGTTAGTTACTACATGTCCAAGGTTTCTATGCGCACAGATACATCAGGCAGAGCAGGTGTTGATTGCATTCAGACTAAAGTCTGCATTCCCCCCAGGGGGCTGTAGGGGGGTAGGCTTAATCCACTGTGATAGAGAGAATAAGGATGAACAGATAATAACACTTGCAGTTGTGATGAGCCTGAAATAAACCCCAAACGCAATGGAGGGTTTTTAAGATTTGAGCACGAATCGGTAGTAGTAGTAATAGTAGTAGTAGTCCTTTTTGGAGTAATGCCTAGAGGCCTTAGTCAAGGAATGTAATTCTACAGTGCTAGATGTACCTACAAACCCAAGACAGCCCCTGCCTCAAAGACTGTGCAGAGAGCTACAATTATTCGCAGGCATATCTTACAAATCAGCCCTGAACTGGTTTAAATCTGAATTTAAGTTCTGTAGCTGGATGAGAGGTCACTTCTCATGCTTCAAGGCCTAAACTGGTGGTCTTCAATGGTCAGGAAGAAAGTTTCCCTGCACGTGACACTGCCCATCTGGACAAGAGTGATACGAGCTATTTTACCTATGTATAAAGCAGTGTCTGTTGTTTCCAGTGCCAAAGCATAGTATTAGCCTCATGACACGGAGGGACCGCTCTCATTCAAACCCTTATTAGCATTTCATCTAAATTGCATTTACTCACAGATTCAGGAAAGGGTTTTTCCTTTGAATCATCTGATTCTCCCTCCCCGCCCCCCCTTTCTGCAAAGTGTAAATATCCTTTTCTAGCACAAATCATCCCACAAACCACCTCCACTCAATTCATAGCTCACCTCACTTCCACAGCGTAGCCTTACTACAATCAACTCTCCTTTCGCGACGACACGACCATCAGCGTCCAAAGCCCAAATAGCTTTTCTAGCATGGTGTGTTCCCATTCACAGCAGACTTATCTGAGCCCCATCAAACGCAACCGAAAGTACGTGCGAGGGAACGCAGGGTCAGACACTGAATTTTAAGTTAAATCTTTTTTGGAAGGCAGGAGAAATCATTTTGCATCGCACAAACCAAGAATGAGAAATGAAAGTTCACGCTTCGCCGCGTGCATCTGCCTGTGAAAATTTATATTATTTAGCAATTCTAATGGACCAATTAAAATATATTAGCATGACAATTTCATTTCTTCTCTGATCGGTTGCAAAGTAAACAGGCAGAGTTAAATATACAAGCTGTGAAGCAAACTCGCCAACGCTCCACAAAGGAGCTTTCCACATCCACGCGGCTTATCCGCCGGTCTCGGATTTTCCTGTCACCTGGTAAATTCCTGTCGCCCTCTTCCTGCTCTGGAAATAATCCAGTGGCAGCATC